CTGCCATTGCTGAATTGTTGAGTATTCAGGCTCCAGGGCTTCACCCTCTCTTCACTATAAGCTGGTCATTGACCGAAAACAAGGATGACATTATCAGGCATGTGGGCACTTCCCTAGCTGTATGCCTGTTACAAATTCTACATGAAGGCAAACTCAGAATGAAGGCAAAGATGCTCATTCTAGGTCTGCTACTTGCTAGCTTGAAAACCAAGGACAAACGTGTCAGCCCTGGAGCTTGCATCTTTAAAAACAAGTAAGCAATAGCAACTTCTATATTTATATCTTTGGCAGGTTGCCTTTAAAACAACCCTGTGAAGTTGAAAAAAGATTCAGTTCCATGCAATAGAAGCAGTGGAATACTGACCATAGCTGTGGTCTCTGAAAAGCCAGCCAGACATAGACTGAATTCCTGCTGAATTGGCGCAAATTAAATCTGTGGGTGGCCAACTTAAAGTGACATTAAACCCTCAGATTTTTTAACATAAAACAATACTGTAATGTGCTCCTTACTGTAATCCATGGTTGTTTCCCTTCTCTTTGCTGCTCTTCCTTTTAAATCCTCATGTCTTCTCATGCTGGGCAGAACTTCTGTTTTGCAGCAGACTGCCTTGTCTCAGGAATGGATACACGGTGTCTGTGTATACGTTTCTATAGGCTTGTAACCTGAGCCAGCACTACAGGAAGAGGCCCTGAGCTGCAAAGGGAAGTTCTCCCCCAGCATGAGAAGACATGAGGATTTAAAATGAAGAGCAGCAAAGAGAAGGGAAACAACCATGGATTACAGCAAGGCGCACATTACAGTATTGGTTTATGTTAAAAAAATCTGAGGGTTTAATGTCACTTTAAGACTCTATGGAATTCAACACTTCCGGGAGTGTAGGATGCATATATCTCTTGCTGCTTGCTATGGTTCCTTCCTTTATGTCCGTGCTATTTTGTAGTGAAGTAGGGGTCAGAGAATGGAGGTCCAGCACTTGGTAGGGACACAGGCATCTGACACTCCCATAGGGTTGCCAACTTTTCTTTCAGGGAAACCCGAACACTCTTGCGACTCACAAAAATGTTTTTGGGAGAATGATTCATGGCTTATTTATATGTCAATAGCGCCACTCATTCATGTGTAAATATCACAGTAGGGACTATTTTCAGTGGGGGGACCAGTAGCCCCTATTTTAATTTTGGTTGCCCCTGTCTGCCTGACATCATGTGCCGGGTTTCAGCTGTCATAAAACTTGGACACAGCATTCAAAATCCTACACTCCCAAAAGTTTTGAATGCCAAAGGGTCTTACAGAGGCTTCAGTGCAGAACTGGCGGCAACGTAGGCAACACGGCCCACTGGATAGGTGAGTATAATCCCTCTTCTATTGCAGGGATACCTTTCATGTGAATCTTTTTCAACCTGACAGGTTCCCTTTAAGTCAGAATTTGTAGACCAAGTTTAGAACCTGTGCCGAAGCCGATGATGACCACCATCATGAGCCAGAAAAACCTCAGGAGATCACCAAATATGATCTGTAAAGAGAAACAAAATGTACTTGTTTGATTACATCATTACAGAGACACCTAATAAAACTAAAAAAAAAAGATGCAACAACTTCCTACATTTACTCCAGCAATGGCTGAATGTCACTTGTCAGGGTGAGGGTCAAGGCCATGCGTGGCTGAAACGCATAGCGGGTTGATGATGGGAACTGTTCATCTGATGTTTAATATGCTTTGTGCCAGAACCTTGTGCCAGGGTTCTGATGAAGGAGTTGTGCCCTCGGAAACGCGTCAACCAGGAAGGACCGATAGCCGGCTGGCTAAGTCTGTTTTACATGATCTGTTCATGCCTGCTATTTATCTTCCTTTGTGAGTACATCTCCAACTGTTTTTAATTTATTTTATTAAAAAGTTTTACAGGCGCTCTCTGTATTTTGTATTTCAGTTCTGTGCCAGAACCTGTTATATTTGTTGCTTACTGAGGAGGATAGTGTTTCCTGAGCACCAGCGATTCCCAGTTCATGCACAATATCAGGCTACCGACAGGGCAGTTCCTAACTTATTCACCGCCTAAGGCAGACAAGAGAAGGGGGGGGAGCGAGGGCCGAGCAGTCAGCCACGCGGGAGGCAGTGGCCAGCAATGCTGTTACCTTGGCAGGAGGAGGAAAGGGCGACCAAGCCATCAGCTGGGGGGGTGCTGTTAGTCGGCCGTGCTGTCGCCTCCCAATGAGATGCTGCCTAATTCTACTGCCTCCTTCCTAATTATGGAGATGCCCCTGGCTACAGGTTAAGTAAGCTTCCAATTCTGTTTTGTAGACGACAGTGGACCATGCCCGTGCCTGCATGGGTGCTTACCTTGTGTATGCGATTTATAGGTCTTTATCATTATTATCTGCCAGGATATAGGTCTCTGTTATTATTATTGGCTATATCTGAGTGTTTCTATGCTTTGGTTCACAATTAATTTCTACAATATTTTCTATAAACTTATATATTGTAATATGAATGAAACCAATATATGAATCACTTGTTTACAAACCCTGTACAAGGGGGATAGTTTTGACCCCTAAAACACGTTGGCTGTTTTATGTCTTCCTGCTATGAATTCATATAAATATTAAAAGACTTTGAACTCCTTTGTCTGGTACTCTCAGTGGACTTTGTATACCTTGTGTATCATGACAGTGAAGGGTCCCAACATCTGAAATCCCCGAGCGAAATACATAGCGAAGCACCAGCCGAACACCAGGGCCAGAGACATGGGAATCACTTCTCCATCCGAGTTCGTCAGTCTTAGGGCGAGCGTCAGAAGCACCGAACAGCTGAAGAGAACCCTAGAATGGCAGAATAATTAAGGGAACAGAACAGGAATTAAAGTGATCAGACAGAAAAATTGGAAGTTTCATCCTCAAAGTCCAACTTCCAGGGGAAGGAAAGGGGGACGTATACAAATGTAAAATATATATTATTGCAATAGGAAAGCCTTAGGAGATGACAGCCAACAAACTTTCCGAGATCCAAGATGACTGATATGTCGGGAGCTTTGTGATTATTGCATATGCTATTAGTCTCTGCTAGAAAAACCTCAAAATTCTTAGAGTTTTCCCTTAGCTGCCATAATATTTGTGATCTACGTACCCAAGACATACTCTATAGCCAGGAAGGTGACACAACTGTATCTGTTACAGAATGCAGTGGTGCCACCTCCCCACCCTACTTTGTGAATGGACAGTAATAAAACATTGTAAATAGATAGTCTGCGCTTCTGGAGAGAGGTGGTAAAGAAGGAATAAATAAATGAATAAATAAATGAAAAATAGTGAATAAATCTATTAAACCCAGAGCAGCTCTGAAATGGGGTTTAAAGAAATCCCTATAAAAATCAATAAAAATACAAAGCGCTAAAGGTAAAGTTGCTAGATAATGTGTATAAAAGGTGAAAAATAGGTTTTCAGGCGAATCGGCCTGGAGCCTATTAATAAGTGACTAATAAACCAATACAAACGTGCTGTAATATGGGTAAAACATAAAAATCAATCAAAATGTCAGATGAAGTCATATAAAAGTCTTGTAAAACATCAAAAAGTGTTCCCTATGAAGAAAGTTCAGTGAACGGTGAACACCGTATGCAAGCAAAGATAGCAGTGTATTTACAGGTGATCCGAACTGCCCCTCTCGGGTGGGTACTCACCAAATAGAAGTTGGTCAAAAGAGCTCTTAGTGAGTAATAGCGTAGTTGGACTTGAGCGCAAACGTATTCTCTACGGGTCCTGGCAGACGAACACTTGGCTTTCTCCCCTATGACGCTGGCTGTATCTCAGGGATGAGGAGATCGATCCTTTTAGACGCGGTGTTGGCAAAGTGCTTTGTCGTGGTCCCACAAGGTTTTAGAGACGAACAAAGAAGAGAACCTTCATAGCGTAGTAAGTAAAACTATAAACTTTTATTCCAATACGGCTCACAAGGCAAAAAATTCCGGCCGGCTAGAGCAGCTCAGGAACAAACATAAAAATTTTGTGTCTAACAAACTAGCATCTGCCCTCATTGACGCGTTTTGTCAGGTGACTTCCTCAGAAAGAAGGTAGATGCAAGAGACACGGGGTGAGTGATATAAAAACATTCCGCTAATTGGTCCTAATTAGAAGAGAACCAATTATCAAGCAGCGGAGAAGAAAGTCTTAAACAGATCTATGTTTTTATGTTTTACCCATATTACAGCACGTTTGTATTGGTTTATTAGTCACTTATTAATAGGCTCCAGGCCGATTCGCCTGAAAACCTATTTTTCACCTTTTATACACGTTATCCAGCAACTTTGTATTTTTATTGAGTAATAAAACATTAAGAGGGTTATCCGATTAGCTGCCGAAGGCAGCCAAGTGAATAACCCAGCCGAAGTGAAGTGAGCCAAACGCTGTTCGGCTATTCAATTCAGTCTTGTACGGCTGATTTCATGTTCGGCTGAGCCGAAGTGCAGAAGGAGTTCGACTCAGCGGATCCAACATCTGGATCGGCTGAGCCGAAGCTCCAGCAGCTCACTCGCTGCCGTTCGCCCCAATTCTCATAGACGCTCAACGGCAGTAAGTGAATAGCCGAATGCTGCCGCATTTGGCTCGGCTATTCTGCTTGCTACCACCCTGGTACTGAGCTGAATAGAAAAAAAGTTAAATGAATCGAAATAAAATGTTGAAAAATTATTTTTAAAAAAGAAAAAAATATTTTAAAGAAAAGAAAAAATAAATAAGAAATAATTGTAAAAAACGATGCATGCCGACCCAACCGCATGCAACGAACTCCCGTTCGACTTCGGTTCGACTGACCCGAAGGGCTGAGGCAGCCAAAGTGAGGTGAAGGATCAGCCGAAGCTACGGCTGGATCCTTTGGCTCATTAGTGAATAACCCTCTAAGGCATCTTTGTGTTCTCCCCTCCTGTAGGCATGCTACCTTTGTTAAACAAATAGCATTGTGCAAATCCTGATTGGGTGACACTGCTGACCCTTTTCTCTCACACATACCATGATAATGAAAAAAAAACAAAAAAACAGTATGGCTTCAACTCGAACCTACTCACAGGATGAAGTGAAAAAGTCCTCCTGATACAGTGTCTTGGAGTAAGGCGATACTTCGAGTGCTCATCAGTACAGGGATCTGTAGAACAACATGGCCACATGTTCCATTAATGGAGTGTACAGTTCTTTCTGGAATAAGTCAATCATATTTATCGTGCTGGTCTGTAGATCCAATGCTATGTTGCTGTTGAAGGTTTTTCTCACTTCCTGTCTCATCAAGCATTGTCAACAGGACAGGAAGTGAGGTAAAATCTCCCTATCAGAGCTCCGGATAGCAGTTAAAGCCCAACACTGGTTATACTCCTTTCCTTGCTCTATCCACACCTTTCACCTTTTTGAATTTTCACTTAGTTGTTGTTATAATATCTATTTCTGGATTTGTATTTTGCATTTCTGTTCTGAGCCCTGCAATGGCTGCATAGTGCATTTTTATATGGGTTAAGGGCTCATGCACATGGGTGTATGAAATGCTGCATTCAGATCCATACTGCATATACTTTTATACAGATCTGAACGCAGCAGTATTGTAGGCTTTAGCACTCGTTCACACCTGAACGTTTTGTAGCGCGTTCTACGCTCGACGAACGCTCTACAAAACGCTCAAAAATATAAATCCCATTGTATTCAATGGTCTCGTTCCCACCTTGGCGTATTTCCGCCCCTAACGCGCTACAAATCGGCCCACGCCTGAAAAGGTACATGGACTACTTTGGGCCGTTTTGTTGCGCGTTTCCATTGGGATACAGCCAAGTAGCCTTCGGAAATGCGCATTTGGCGCGCAACTTTTTTACCGCGAATTGCGGTTAAAAAACGCGCGACGGTCGCGCGACAGACACGCATATGCAATACGCCTAGGTGTGAACCAGGCCTTAGGGCATATGTACGCAGCTGCCTTGTAGTGTTCCCTTGTAGCATTGAGCCAAGTAAATCTAATGTAAAAAGTTAGGCGCCTACTTTTGATCATATTTTGCGTGGTATGCATGTAAAGGTTCATACTACCATATACAATGATCATCCATAACATTATGACCACCCGCCTAATATTGAGTAGGTCCCTCTTTTGCAGCCAAAACATTCCATACCCATCAAGTCATAGACTCCACTAGACATCTGAAGGTATGCTGTGCTATCCCGCACCAAGCTGTCGGTAGCAGATTCTTTAAGTCCGATCTTTAAGATTGGATTAAGATCTGGAGATTTTGAAGGCCAAGTCATCACCTCAAACTCATTGTTGTGTTCCTCAAACCATTCTTGAACCATTTTTGCAGTGTAGCATGGGTGCATTGTCCTGCTGAAAGAGGCCACTGCCATCAGGGAATATCATTCCCATGAAGGGGTGTACTTGGTCAGGAACAATGTTTAGGTAGGTGTCATGTGTCAAAGTAACATCCACATGAATGGCAGGACCCGAGGTTTCCCAGCACAACATTGTACAAAGCATCACACTGCCTCCGCTGGCTTGTCTTTTTCCCATAGTGCATCCTGGTGCCATACCTTCTCCAGGTAAGTGACGCACACACACAACCAGCCATCCACATGATGTAAAAGAAAATGTCATTCATCAGACCAGGCCACCTTCCTTCATTGCTCCGTGGTCCAGTTCTAATGCTCACATTCCCATTGTAGGTGGTGGTGGACACGGGTCAGCATGGGCACCCTGACCGGTCTGCAGCTAAGCAGCCCCATACACAACAAACTGCGATGCTTTGTGTGTTCAGACACCTTTCTATTGGAACCAGCATGAACTTTTTCAGCAATCTGAGCTCCAGTAGCTCTTCTATTGGGCTAGGGGCCAGCCTTCACTCACCAAATGCATCAGTAAACTTGGCCGCGCTTGACACTGTCCTTGGTTCACCGGAGTTCCTTCCTTGGACCACATCAACCTCAGGGACAAAATGTTTACTTGCAGCCTAATATATCCCCTCACTTCCAGGTGTCATTGTAACCAGATCATCAATGTTATTCACTTCACTACTTCACCTGCCAGTGGTCATAACATTATGGCTGATTGGTATTCATGCGTAACACATAAATGAACATTGCCCTAACTTACCAATTTCAAGTGCTGGAGATTTGAGTCCACCACTGTGGCAATATGCGCCGCCACTGTCTAGTATCACTTATGTATATATCTCCCCTCTGCCCCTGAAGGAGTAATTTACTAGGCAGCAGCAGCAGCAGCCTTCAGAAGGAATGACTTTGTTTGCTTATGTGCTTATGCTCATTGCCTGTGCGCATCTCAGCTCTATGAATAGATTAATAAACCTTTTGCGCCACGGAACATTATTTTGTGCAGAATCTTTCAACCATTGTTCTCAAGATCCTACATCCAATCCAATAAAGTACCGTGTGCATGAGTCCTTTATTATCTTATGTATGATTACCTCAAGAAGTAACATCGCCAGCGCCCCAATAACTGAGATCAGCTCCCCAACTAGTCGCAGCTCGTCCATTGTCGTGTTATTGGATTCCTGAAATGATATCACAGTAAATAACAGGATTTCAAAGTCATGGTAACATTTCAAAAATGTATTCTGGGTCCAGAAAGAAAATGAAGCACCTAGTTTGAGATAGAAACACAAATTATTATAAGGATAGGCGCACTTGAAAACAAAGTGCACTTATCCTTTTTGCCCTCCTTTCTTTGACCCTATCTAACCCACCCTTTCCCTCCATTAGACATGCAGGCTGAGGAAAAATTTGGTTCGGATATTTCGTTATTTCGGGATTCGGATCCGAAATTCACTTCGGCTTGGGTTTCGGATTTGGACGAAATCCGAATTTTCTGTAGTTTCGGTTTAGTTTACGAACGGATATTCGCTACGGCTGCCACAGAAAACCATATACAGATATTAATACTAAAGCTCAGTCTCCTAGACCTAGGCATTCAGGAGCTCCCAAATGCAATTCGGAAATTCAGATCCCGAATGCCATTCGGGTTCCTGGAGCCATATATATATATATTACTAAAGTTGAGGCTTCCAGACCCGAATCGGATTCGGGAGCTCCCGAATACAATTCAGAAATTTGGATCCCGAATGCCATTCGGGTCTAGGAGCCTCAGGTTTAGTATTATATGTACATACTGTATATGGCTTCCATGTTGCCGTAATGAAAATTCTTATTCAGACCCATTTGGATTTAACAGAATAACATCTGATTGGGTAGAAAAGTCACATGCCAGATCCAGTTTAGTTTTTGAAAGATATTTGGACAGGATCCGAAATGCGGAAACAGAAATTCGGATTCGGACACATTCGGGTGCATTGTGATCCGTAAATTCGCGTGTGTCTGCATTTCGGAAAATGTGTCTGAATTTTGATTTGGAACGAAGCAAATCACAAATGTCTACCCTCCATACACCTCCTTGATCCAACAGCTGCGGTTCTGCTGTTTGATTACATCCAGCAGTGGAAGTATTTGCTGTCCTGGCCATTCCTGGACATTACAGCCCCATGAACTTCTATTGGACCCAGTGGCGGAACAATCACCATAGCGACCCAGGTGGCCGCTATGGGGCACACTTGGGCCCGGCCAGGGCATCCCCCTGATGCTGTGCGGGCTGCTGGGGTCGCTATGGCGTCTCAGGCTGGTGGCTGTCACTGGCGGCTGTGAGGAGGAACACGCCGCTGTTCAGATGACTGACAACCTGTCAGTGATCTGTGCAGCGGCGCATTCCTCCTCACAGCTGCTGCTGAGTCAGTGACAACCAGCAGCTGCAGAGGACAAGACTGGGTCCGGCGTCGGCAGCAAAGGAGGAGGCGGGGCCCAGTGATGGAGGAGGTGGGGCCTGGAGATGGAGGAGGCGGAGAGCGATTGGGGCTGACAGGTAAGAGGGATTGACCAGCCCACCTGAGACCCTGCAGAGCCCACCATAGACAGTCTATGGTGGGCTCTGCAGGGTCACTCTCAGGTGGGTTTTTTGGGATATCAGGTGAGTGTAACTAGAAATCACAGGTCCCCATACAAAATTTTGCTATGAGGCCCTGTGATTTCTAGTTACGCCCCTAATTGGACTGGTCCCACAGTCCAATAGAAGTCCAGGGGTTGTAATGTTTAGGGTTGACCAGGACAGTGACGACTTCCACCGCTGGATGTAAACCATGAGCAAATCTACAGCTGTCAGATTGAAGTGTGTAAACATCTATGGAGAGGAAGGGTGGGTTGAGTTGGATCAGGTCAGGGGCAGGGGGTCAAAAAGGCTAAATGTACTTTGTTTTAAGGTGCACTTAAACTTTAAAGGCCTCATTCAGCTTAAAGGGTAAGTATACTTTTAGCTGCTTAATGCCCCATTGCTGAATGAGGAGGAGAAGGAGTCAACATTGATGAAATCACTTGTGTGAGTACATTCCTGTTTGATCAATTCCAGTTCCAAAAGGAGGTATGGGGAAACTGGGAATGTACAAATGTAATAGCGTGCAATGGTCCATATTTCACTTCCTATAAAAAAGAAGCCACTATCCATCCTTTTAAACTCATCTAAAAATGCTTTATACGCCTTCATCTGTTGGCAAGTCCTACCAGGAGATTCGTTTGTTTTAGGATAGTGGTGTCTCGAGGGTTTGACGAACGGTTCTGCAGAGGCTTGAGGGGTCGGTTGGCGCAGCACAAAGACACACAGATCATGTACAGCACATAGACGGCTGCCAGAGTCCAAAAATATGGCCGCCCAAACCTTTGCCATTTCTCGTTCAGCAGATCTTTAACAGGGGAAATGTCCAGAATTCGCCGTGCCTGTGGAAAAAAAGAACATTTTGGGTATACTGCTCTTAAAGAAGCACTAACATGCAAAATATTGAAAAAATGTGTTTTTACATGAAAGTCAATTTATCATATTTGTATGCACGTTGTAATAATCATGTTTTTTTTATGGATTTCTAATACCATTTTAATAAATATGTACACATACTGGAACTTTTATCACGTACAATTAAATATTAGCCTCATCTAGCATTTTCACCTTTTGTTTCCCTGAAACACAATATCACACCTCATTGCTGGTGTAAAGCAATAATAGGGCCATGCAGGATGTAATTAGATCTTTCAGGTACATATGGAGACAGCTGAAGCATCATGTAAACCCAGGATATACAATGTACTTCTCCCCTTTACATGCAGCTCACTTAAAGTGAAGCTGGCCATCTCTGTCCCAAATACATTGAATTACTGACCTCAATGGATGCCAACACTTAGTATGGGGCCATTCATTGTAAATGGAGCCCCAATGCACTATGCGGCAGTAGCAAAGCAAATGCACAGCAATACATCAGTGTGATATCTACTGCATTGCCAAAAGATAGGCATGTGCGCATTTTTGGTTGTAAAATGGGCTTACACAATGAATGGGCTGCCTCAATACAATGCACGGCCAAGGACAAAACAGAATTTAGAAACTTCATCCTAGTGACATGTTTTCTACAGCCAAAATTATCTTCTAGTTTCAGAATATGGCAGCGGCGTATCCAGGGTATGGCACATATGGCACATGCCCTGGGCACCACTTGTAGAGGGGGAGTGCCGCTCCATGGGTCAGCAAAATGTTGCTGACCCACAGAGACAGCAGACTGTCATTGGCATTATTCAACTCCCACTGCTGCTGGTTAGCTACTAGCCAGCAGCCAGGAGGTTAAATGATGACAGTGGGTTAAATGAAGCCGCTGATCGTTGGCTGTTAGTAGCGCTTGGTTTCCTAGCAACCAAACAATGATGTGTTGCCTCTTCGCCCTTCGCAGCATTCAGCTCTGTACTCCTTCACTGAGGTGCCTGCCTCCTTCCAGTCAGCTTCCTGCCTCCCCAAGTAAGCCACCACAGCAAGGGACTCATAGCAGGGAACTCTAGACTGGAGTCCCCAGAGTTCCCCTTACACCAGAGTCCCCAGAGTTCCCCCTTACACCAGAGTTCCCCCTTACACCAGAGTTCCCCCTTACATCAGAGTTCCCCCTTACATCAGAGTCCTTAGGATTCTGGGCACTGAGTCAACCCTTACATCAGAGTCTCCTCTTACAGAGTCTGGAAGTGGAGGGGGGACTCTGATGCAATCGGGGACTCTGTGGACTCAGATGTAACAGGGGACTCTAATGTAAGGGGGGCACTGATGTAAGGAGGGACTCTGGTGACTCCGATGTAAGGGGAGACTATTATGCGAGTTTGACTTGCATTTTTGAGTTGATATTATGGTAAAATTATCTTAGATATTGGTGTCAGATTTTGGAAAGGGGCGCAATTTCAGCTTGCCCTGAGTGCTATTTTCTGTAGATATGCCTCTGTGGAAGGGTCAGATCCCTTGGCAAGTTTTCGTTGCTGGGAAGATTCACCCTCTCTGTTTGTCTTGTTGGCCATGTCATATGATTGTCATCAGAACCAGAGTAGAGGGACAGCTGTCCAAGGTGGGAATTTTGCTCACATTGGGTAGACTTTCACTCACTTCCTGTCATGCCATTGGGAAAGGAGTTAAAATTGCCCAATGGGGACACAGCCACCAATAAAAAAAAAATCTAAGGATTCCTTTCTAGATAATCAGTATTACCATTCTTTATATGTTTATTTTTATGCAATATTATATTGTTTTAAATGTATTTCTCTTTTATCATACACTCTATTATATACATTATATTAAATATATTATAAGATGATTAATTTGCATTTGTTCAATTTATATATTATTACATTTTTTTACATTCTTAGTATACATAATTATTATTGTTTTTATTATTAATATTTAACTTTTGTATTCAGTTTTTGTGCGAGACATTGTTATTACTTTCATTATATCCACATTACTTTGAGTACGATTACTATCATTTCCATGAGTCTCATTCTTACTATCAATATTGTTCCCAACCTAATATCTTTTTTCTTCTACCATGCCCTTACTGGTATTTGATCTTTTCCTTAGTTTTCAGGATGATATACTGTATATTACAATGATGATGTCAAAGAATGTTTGCCCTTTATCTATTCTTTTGTGTTGCATTCTAGCTACAGCCCCTGAAACATGTTAGATTTGTAAACAATCTGTCTTTGGAATAAACTTGTGTGTAGACTTGAATATCACAATGTGGTATGTCAATGTTAAATCAAATACAAAAACAGACTAAGGTTCAAGCCCTTGCACATTCTATACAAAGTCCCAAAAATATTTTCTGAGGTTCTACTGGTCACTTCTATTCCCTATTAAAAGTGTAAAGTGAACATTCTGTACCTCTGCCTTCTTGGATGTCACTAGCAGATGAAGAACTGAACCCGAGGACCCCCAAGAGTCAATCTCAGTGAGGTCGTAGAGCATGTAACTGGTTGGACCCATCGACTGAAAAGTCCGGACTCCCTTTTTTAGAAGATGCTGAAACATCTAGAGGAAATCAGATGAACATCAAGTCTTGTTTATTTATTTATTTTGATTGCATTTTAAAATAAAAACTCACCTAAGCTGTAAAAATGATTTGGAAATTATTTAGCTACAAAGAAGCCCTGAACATTAGTGTTGTGGTTGAAAATGTTAAATGGAACTTGTTAGAAATGTTGAAGTATTACAAAATACTGCCTAGAAGCAGTCACTATCAGATGACTGCTGCTGCCTTTGTTAGTCATAATACCTTGGACTTGGTTCCACTGACTTCAGGGCTAAGTCTCACCAAGTGCCATCCCACCATCTGTCCAATGGGAGTTCCTTGTTGGGCATGAGAGGCACTTTTGCTTGAGAGGGTATTGGCATTTGATGGAGCCCATTTCTTATGTCAAGGTAGACAAGCTCTTGTTGGAGTGGGATTTCCCCTCCCTTTCTTGGACACTGAGTATAATCGGTAGGAGCCTATAAACACCCATACAGTATGTATTAATGGAGGATAATTTGCCTCCCAGGGAAAACAGTCTCTATATAACTCTGCATCGGCACATATTTTTTTAATATTTATCTGCTTGTAGACAATTATGGAATTGGATCACTATATCACATCAGGAGCAACTTTGAGATCATATGTATGCCGCCAGGGTCATCTGTATTGGTGGGCGTAGGTGTTTCCTGATTTAGTCATGAGATCATCTTATATAGTTCCACATGGCATATATTAGAACTACAGGTAATTTATAATAGGAAATTTGGGAAAACAAGAGAAAATTTAGGAAGGACTATAGTAGATAAATGAGGATATGTACAGAGCACTCATATGTTTTTATATTTAGGCATGTTCTAGACTTTTGGGACATTATGCTTATGATAAAAGATAGCCTTTTATTAGGTAGAAGTAGATCCTTAAAGAGGGGGAGAGGAAGGGGATGAGTGGTGACCTCCTGCTTTTGCTAGCTTTTATGGAGCGGTGGTGTGTAGAGGGATTCATCTTGGTGGTGTCCATGACCAAGCATGTGACTATAAGTGATTATGAACGAAAAATGCTAAAAGTTTCTGGTGGATCAGTGTATGTGATCAGCAATTACACGGACCCCAATTTTTATATACATAGCTAAATCTCTATGTTAAAACCAACAGGTCTAATCACTGAAGGGTGAAGGGTTTGAGAGAAGGCCGGAGAGGTAAACAATTTAGGACAACATAGCTGAACTGGAAAAATTCTCCAATTCAGCTCACTTTTCAATTCAGCTATGTTGTCCTAAATTGTTTCCTTCTCCTGCCTTCTCCAAACTCTTCACCCTTTTGTGAATAACCCTTCAAGTTTTTATTTACGCTTTGAGCCTGGAGCACCACCTTCGGGGTTGATTCTTCAAAACAGATTGAAAAAAGCTCTTACAGTGACATTGCCTTCAGCTGCAGCCATCTTGAGTGGTGTCAGGCCTTGGTTATTTAGGATCATGTCCAAACTGGGGCCGCTCTGTTCATTGTTGAGAGACAAGAGAAGATCGTACATCTGACAAGAGAGCGTCTTATTGTGCTGCAGGATCAGAATGTGCAGCACTGTGTTTCCTGTAACAAACACATTGAAAGTGACCAGGCAAAGAGGATCTACATCTATTGTTCACCTAATACCGTATGGTAGATGATCACAATTGGTTCCAGGGGCACAGAGACCACAATTTACAGAGAAAAAAAAATATATATATTAGATACCCTTTTGGATACCCAGCAATTTATCTAGATCAGCCTCTCTCAACCTTTTTAAAATGGAGGATCCCTTAACATAACTTACGCATTTCTGATAATCCTTGCTAATAATAACTATGTCTACAGCTCAGGGTACATTATCCTGAACAGTAAGCTGAAATCTAAACATAGCATGCCCCCTGACCTCAAGGAGCATGTGGGGCAGGGTGGGCTGACATTTTGCCTCCGTGATGTGTTTGCCTTAGCCATTTGTGAGATGTGAATGTAAAGTTGGGCGCCAGTCACTTTTAGGATTCTTCAAAGGTTTTATTCTATCAGTGACTTATATGGGAGAGAGGGTAAAGGGCTACAGACATCTAGGACAGTAAATAACTCCAGATTCACCAACCACTTCCCAGTTTCCCAGTGCAGAAGGCCTTTAAACAGATTGCAGTAACACTGTGTATTGTAGAATCTTAGCAATGGCAAGGTGTGTTGGGGTCCCATTCAGACTAGTCTGCATGGCACTACATTGCAGCAATGCAAGTAATGTGTGTGAATGAGCCCTCAAGGAACAAAGTTCGTTTACCTCTCTGTCTCTAGCCTATGTTTGGACAGTAACGGAGCAACAACAGATAGATAAGATCATCTCTCAGTTCTCTCCTCCTGTTAGACTTCTCCATGTTCGCACACATGCCTGAAACACACCTGATTGATCCCAAATAATCCCTCTTGTCTTCTTTTTCCTTCCTTAGAGCCATGTGCTGTATTTTTGGTATCCATTGCACTTACATAGTGGTGGAGGAGCTAGAGGGATCACAAGAGTCTGTGTGTTATTGTATACTATCTGTTTGCTAGTAATATTACTTTTGTTTATCTGTTAACTTTGTGTGTCCCCATTTGGCAGGAGTTGCCTCATTTGCACAGACCATGCAAAGGCATAATGCAGCCTTGTCACTTACCCCAGCAGTCCTGAGCCCGTAGGTTTGCTCCATTCTCTACCAGTAGTTTGACAATGTCGGCATTTCCCACACAAGCAGCAAAACTTAAAATATGCTCCCCTGAAGAGGAAAAGAAGCCACTTGTTAATAATACTGTTATGGACAGATGACGATCTCAGTGGGCACCTGAATCCAGAAATGGAATGGTGGGGAGCACAAAGTAGGTATCAGCAGAGGGAGAGAGTCTTATCAACAGATTGTATAACTTTTCCCTGGAATGGAGAAAGTTACAAATTCACTGTAAACCCAACACAACCTCACTTCTTGGAGCTTTTTCATCACTTGTGAAAATGTGCCACACTCAACTAGAACTAGTCCTTATGCTCCCAATAAGCCCTCAGCACACTACTATACATTCTGAAAGGGTCAAACCAAAAGTTTGCATTTACATAGTACATTACCACTAATAAATACTGATATTATGGCCATGGTTTAACTCATTCTACATCCCTTTACATTACCTGTTGATCTTGCAAGTGTTCAGTTGTGCGTTATATTTGCTGTGAAGGGCTGACAACACTTTTCTAGCCACCACTGAAATACCAGGTCACCAGTGAAATCGACTTTGCATTGTCAGTCCCACACTATGCCAAGTGAAGGTAAGCCCCTATAGCCCTTCTCCTCCAGTTTGCATTGTCAGCCGTGCACTATGCCAAGTGTAAATAAGCCCCTACAGCCCTTCCCCGCCCTCTTGCATTGTCAGGCCTGTGCTGTGCCAAGGGAAGATAAGCCCTTACAACCCCTCCCCTCTGGCTTGTGTTGTTGGCCCTGATCTGTGCCAAATGAAGTTGAGCTCCTCCCCTCCGGCTTGCATTGACGACCCTTCACTGTGCCAAGTGAAGAAAAGCCCCCACAGCCCCTCCCCTCCAACTTGTGCTGTTGGCCCTGCCCTGCTCCCACAGTACAGTAGGTCACTTCCTGCCGTGACATTATTTACTGAAAATCCATTCCCACCACCTGGAGAGGAAGAGAGGGTGTGTTTTTTTTAGAATAGGGACATGAGAGATAAACAAGTGCTAGCAGAGCCATTAGGTCTGTTTGTTTTATCTAGCCTTCCTGTCTACTACAAACACTTTTAGTAAACATTATTTCTATACCGAAATAGAAGAGGATTTTTGGTCTCTGAATGAAGAAGCTGCCGGTAGCCCTTGGGGAGGACACATCCGCTCCTCGTTGTATCAGCATCTTCACCAAGTTCATGTTCTGGTTGACAGTAGCGATATGCAGCGATGTCTGGCCTGTAGAGAGAGAGGAAACATTCTACATCAGTTGTAGGTAAACAGATATTTAAAGCTGAACTCATAGATTGAGATGTGGATTTAGCCTTTACAAAAACTGGGGTTTCTCCAGATAGTACAACTCATGCTGTACTTCCACCCCCTGCCAACAGCAGCACTGGTGTCATGTCTCCTTCCCCAGTCTACGCTTGCCCATTCACAAAATGCAGCTTGTGATGACACTGCAACCATGCATACTGACCTTGGTAGAGCTCAGAGGTCATGGGGAGGTTCAGAAGATATGGAGCCTCAGTTAGAAGGATCTCAGCTGCTTCCAGGTTGTCGTATAGTGCTGCCATATGGAGAGCCGTTTCTCCGAGTGCCCCTAGTGAAGATAAAGTGCATTATAGTACAAGTAGATAAATGTTACTGAATGGTACAAATATATATTATACGGAGCGCTGTGGAACTCAGGAAGAGGACACAAGGCTTCTAAAAATGTTCTTAAAGGACCCTCGAAGCAGTCTTTCAAAGTATCTTAACCCTAAGTGGGGGTCATATAGTTTGTTACAGCTTTTATACCATAAATAAATATCATGGTCAATGGTTTAACCTTTTTTTCATTAGTTTTCCCATCCCAGTGATGATGATCTCCAACAATGAATGCACATCAATGCTCTGGACTGGCTTCCGGATAGTGAAAACATATATTGAGCGTGCCTGCCCAATATATGACAGCATGGCCGCATGTCTCCACCAGGGAAGCAAGTGATAGGGTGACAACACAGGAGCACAATTAGTGAGCAATTAATCTTTAAACATTACAATAAAGACTATGAAGTCAGTTTTTAGACTATGAAGTCAGTCGCTTTCTAACAGCTTACAGAACCTGCTGTGTGTTTACATGATAGTGCTGGCAGGCTGCATGGTACCGCGCGTTCCGGTGCGGGCAATCCAACTGTGGGTGGGAGGTGCGTTTGGGGTACCATTCAAATATATGGCAATGTAACACACCTCCCACACCAGAATGCACGGTAGGTGCAATTGCGTGGTGCAGTGCATTAATCGCACAGTGCTATGTGATTAACGTACTGTACTAGTGTGAACAGGCCCTCAAAAACACTGACATACATGCACAACCACAGACACATTCTCATCTTCACACATACACACTCTAAAATGTTTTAAGGTCCACCCAGTCTCCCTAACTTATGAGACCTGGAGTGGATTCTCAGCCTGGGGTCCAGTGTGGGCTGCTGTGCTGTGACAGAGCTCCATCCATATGTACATTGCTAGTACCGCTCCCTTGGGTGCCCTGTAGAGGTGGCGGGAGCCAAAATGTGATGTCGCTCCGGTCCAGGTACCTCTATAGGACACGTGAGGGAGCGGTAAGCAATACATGTATGGATGGAGCTCCCTTGTGGCCATAGCCCCATCCCATCTCAAGCTGACACTCGGTGCCAGGCAGCATATTTTGAATGTCTGCTTGGCGCGAGAACTGACAGTGCTGCACTACGGGGAGGCAGAGAAAAGTGGAAGGCATGCGGTGACCCTCTGAACACAACCCAACAGTTGAGAACCAAGCATGTAGACAACACCTCCCACCCAGTAATCAGTTTGGAAAAGGACATAAAGGAATAATCAGCTATTTTTATTCAAAAGGGACATATCTGGAATAAAGTGTTTTGCTTAAATCCTTGCAATGTGTATAGTTGGCCAGAGCAAACTGTATTTTTGTCAACAAAACTGAAGTTACACTCAAACGTTTCCAAGAGATGTAGCAACTAAATTCTGATTGGCTGCTCTTAGTGGTGATAAAAACATTTTATATTCACCAATTTCCATAAATATCTTGGGTTTTTTACCTCTCTGGAAAGGGTCACATTTCTCCGATGCTAAGATTTCCCTTAGAAGCTCCACATTATTTTCTTTGGCAGCCTGAAGAATGGGCATCTCCTGGATCCTGGAACCCGAAGATGAACACATTTTTTAGATAAGATCGTTTCACAAGTGTAAATCCTCTAAATCTATCAGTGGAAATAAATAATCTGCACATTTTGATTATTTTTCATGGGGTTTGAAAAAGACACAATAATTGACAGGAAATTTGTTTGTATCAATCTTATTTGATTTTTGTCAGAGTGTAAATTCTATGTTTTTAAACTTATATTTTACATATATATTTTCTTTGCTTTAAAAATGGTTTACAAACGATGCATAATAACGGATTCATAAAGCCCTATGGGTTACCTAAATAGAAAGTCGCAGCTGGATTTCTGCATAGCCAAAATAGGCCATGGCCTATGGTGGGCAGGGCTGGCACACAGCTAGGCAACTAATCATTTCAAGAAGAACATTCAGCAATGGCAGCTCTTAAAACCCACCTCCGGGCTATTTTTTTTTAAAAGAATTGTTTCCAACAGGGGTTGAAAATAAAAAAAGCAACAAGCAGCTTCTCGCCAGCAATGTCTCACACAATTTATTTCCATCACTAGATGTCCTGAGTTTTCTGTATGGAATGACATCAGAAAGACTGAAGACATCTTGTGAGTGTAGTTTTATGTCTAAGGGGGGCACTGCACCCTGTACCCACATACAATGATGTAAAGAGCAGCAATGATGTCATCACAGTAGGGTTGCCACCTGTCCTGGATTCATCGGGACAGTCCAGGTTTTGAATGCTGTGTCCAGGTTTCAGGGCAGCAGAAACCCGGACACAAGATGTCAGGCAGACATGGACAACCAAAATTAATATAGGGGTTAATGGCCCCCCACTGAAAATAGTCTCAACTGTGATACTTGCATATGAATGGGTGGCTTATTTCCATATGAATAAGCCACGACTCATTCTCCCCAAAAAATGTCAGCGCGTCGCTAGAGTGTTTGGGTTTCACTTGAAGAAAATGTGGCAACCCTACATCACAGACATACATTGCCCTCAATTTAAAAAAAAGGATTCTGTCAGATCCAGTTGCCATCTTTTTTAAACCTATCATCCAATGCTCTCCATTGGTCAAAATTACACCATCCTGTTTGTAAAGTTTAAAAGATTTGATCCTTTTATTACATGGAATGCAAAATTGAATGAGCGTGTTGCTTTATGTATGGAGAGTCCATGGTCCCATCGCACTCCTGACCGCCAAATCCCTTCAAGAAGCGGGTGCTACGGTAGTCAACGGGTGGCATGCGTGATGATCACAGGTAGAGACAGAGACACCGGCACTCCAAAATGATAAGCAAAAGTCTATTTATTGGCGTGCAGTGTAGCAAATAACAACAAACGTTTCGGGGTCACAGAGGATCCCCTTCCTCAAGCAAAAGCATACCAAAAAGCATGGGGCACATAATTCTTTATGTAACTGAAAATGTTTTATTGGCAATAAAACCTCAGGGAGATGAGACGGTATTACCTCCGTTGCTGTAAGAGGTCCATACTAGCCTCTTCCTCCATCCATTCTAAGCATCCAATATGGAGGCACAGCTCCTTCCTCGTCCTCTTTCCCATGGTGATGCCAAATCTACAATGGTCAAAAACAGCCATGTAAGATTTCTTTTTAGGATTGTATTCCTTCTGTCTTCATCTATAGTGTACTATGCATTCAATTCATGGAACAAAATCCATGTTACTTGGAGAAGACGACCTTGAAAGTCACTTAAAACAAGTTGGAAACAAGCAAGCAAAGTTGAATAACCTGTTAAATTGACAGTTAACTTTGTACAGAATGACAAATCAAGATAAGCGGTCATAAAGTGAAAAAAAATAACAAGCCTTCGGCAAAGTTTTAGTCTTAGTGTTATTGTTGCCGGTGTTATATTGTTTATATTACCGTTGTTGCATTGCTATTGCTGGGTGTCCCCAGTTGCATGGACGCAGCACAGTGTCAATGTTCTGGGGACAGGGATCCATATTAGCTATGCTTTAAAGTGTCTTTCTACTTTGGATTGCATTTAGCTTGTTAAAGGAGAACTATGGGGTTAGGGCTTTTCCCCATAGTTCTCCTAAGGGTAACGGGAGGACAAAAACTAGCTACAGCTCGCTGTATACTGAGACGCCGCAGCTGAAACGGATCCCGACAATTATGTCTGGATCCACCCAGCTGCGTGAGTGACAGCTGACTCTGCCTATCTAGAGGCAGAGCCAGCTGTACCCGCCTCCTCCCCGTCTGTTCCGCCAGTCAGCGCTGGAGGATCGGAGCGGGAAGCGGGGAATCCAGTTCCTCACCTGTCACGGCTCTCTGCAGTGACACGATCGAGAAGTGAGCGAGCACCGGTATGTGTTCGCTCACCTCTCGATCTAGTGAGCCGACCTGTGACAGTTTCATTGTCACAGGTCAGCTAGAACTATGAGGTGAGTGAAAATCACCCACCTCACAGTTCTCATTTACAGCACTGACTATAGTAAATAATGTATTTTTTGTTAGAAAATACTTTTGACTTTTTTTTGTCCTTTTGCTCAGTGCTCCTGATTCTCAGCCACCTTCTGTCTACCTGCACTCGTTCCAGTGGTGGCTGCAGGTCATCATTTCTCAGCACTGGCTTCCTGATAGTAACATGTCTGCAGATTGAACGTTCGCAGTGTTGCTTATGACTTTTACCAGAAGTGCATTTAACAGAGTGACAACCCAAGAGAGCAGATGGACAGAGCTTTGTCACCCCAGGAAGTGCCTCAACAAGCACCCCATGACAGGATCAGCAGGGATTATTTTAATAAAAGCTGTAGATTTAAAACCATTAAAGTTACACTAAGGAGACAGGAGTTAAATCTTAAACATAAATTAAAGTACCCTAACTATTAACAACAATGTATCTTATTTGTGTATCACTCGGCTGTAGATCCTCCAATCATCTCTGAATTGGTGCTTACACTGTCCTTCCTTCTGGAGGAGGGGCTACTTTTGTTCCCCATGGTCCCTGTGTGTGTTGTAAAGTAGTCACCGCTCCAAGCTCACTTCCGGGATGGACTACAATCTCATATTTAGATTACTAATTTGTTTTGAAATGATAGTTGTAATAAATATTACAACTGTCTCCCACTTGTGCTCTTGCGGGGTCACTCTTTCACATGTACCCCTGATGGAGCGGGCGTCCTGACACATATTGTGAAGTCAGCCGAGAGCAATGATGTGCGGTTGACACTAGAGTGGGTGCATATAGACAGGAAGTGACTGAAAGAGGTCAGAGGACCTAAAGTGACATTAAAGTCACAAATCTAATCCCCCCCAATGCTGCTTTAAGGACTTAACTTTAAATGATGCCTCTTGATCCGATCATCTTCTTCTTTCCACTTGTATTCAGCAATCCCTCCAGGGCTGGTGCTGGTCTCTAAACCAGTGCTGACTGCTGTGTCTTCGGTGTCCCACGGTGTCTGTCCGACGTGCATGCTCCCAGCTGCCTGCACTCACCTCCACTCAGGGCCAGTGCTAGACTATTTTGCGCCCTATGCAAGACCAGCTACTTGCACCCCCCAGCCCCCCTCCTGCGGCGCAAACCCCAATCCCTCCCCCCGCGTGGCTCCATTCTCCTGTGGGCTAGCTTCCGCAGGTGACAGGTAGGTGTAAGCAGCCAATAACAGACTGGCTATTAAAACCCCTCCCACTGAGCAGAGGAGCAGACCTGAGAGATACCAAAGCAGCAGTGCACCCTAGTGGCAGCACCGGCCCTGCCTCCACTGTGTCTCTCCTCTTCTGCCCATAGATGATCTATACTGCGCATGAGCCCGCTCTCATCCTTCTGCACGGCCGAACGAGAAGCTTCAGATCTTCAGCCGGGAGCGAGCGGTGCAGATACAGGTAAGTTTTGACCTTTTTGGTAACTTTTTTGTTTTTTTAAATGTTGTTTGCATTGCTTGCTAGAAGTAGATATATGCAATAAAAAAGGAAAGTTTAATTCTACTTTAAATAGCAGGGAGCACTGGAAAAACTATTTTTAAAAAAATTGAAAATAATATTTTCCAAAAAATAAAAGGCAAATGTTTATGATGCACACTGCTTAGCAAACAATATGTTATCCAGTTCGGGGTAACATTTTCTATAAGTATTTATTTGACAAGCTCAGGGAATAATGCAAAAAAAGATGGCAAATTTTAATCTCTTATGCACCAATTATGGGATTTACGTATGTAATTGGTCAGAGAAACAGGCTTTTGTCTATGGAAAAATCTTTTAATGCTCAAACCTTCAGAGTGCGACATAGTCCCTGCCCTGTGCCTTAGAGGAGAACGAATTGCTGGGAAAAAACAAAAACAAAAAAGGAAAGATAGAAACATAGAAGAGTGACGGTAGAAAAAGACCAAGTGGTCCATCTAGTAGGTTCCTCTTAAACCTTTTTTTATGAGCATAGATCTACGTTTGTCCCAAGTATGATTGAATTCACTTATTGTTGACTGACTCCCTACCTCTGCTGGGAGTTTGTTCCAAGCATCAACTACTCTTTCAGTAAAATAATACTTTGTAAGATTAGTTTTGAACTTTCCTCCTTCTAGTTGGTGGTCATGTCCCCATATTTTTGATCTAAGCTTCATAATGAAAATCTGGCCCTCCTGGACCCTATTCATACCCTTCATGTATTTAAAGGTTTTAGTCATACTCCCCTTTCTCATCTCTCCTCAAGTCTGTACGTATAAAGTTCCTGCAGTCTCTCCTGATATGATTTATTCCTCTGACCTTTCACCATTTTTGTTGCCTGTCTCTGGACTAGTTCTATCCTATCAATATCTTTTTGTAATTAAGGTCTCCAGAACTGGACATAGCATTGCAAATTAGGTCTAACTAAAGATCTATATAGAGGAATCAGAACCTCCTTCTCACCCCTGGGGACCTCTCTACTGATAACTAAAGACCTGTATAGGGGAATTGGGAGCTCCACCAGGGGATCTATCTACTGATAACTAAATATCTTTATAAGGGAATAAGGACCTCCTTCTGAGGACCTCTCTACTGATAATAAACATCTATATAGGGGAATCAGGGCCTCATTCCTCCTGCTGGGGATCCCTCCAGTGATACATAAAGATCTATATAGAAGAATCAGGACTTCCTCCTGCTGGGGATCCCTCTAGTGATACATAAAGATCTATATAGAGGAATCAGGACTTCCTTCCTCCTGCTGGGGATCCCTCTAGTGATACATAAAGATCTATATAGAGGAATCAGGACTTCCTTCCTCCTGTTGGGGATCCCTCCAGTGATACATAAAGATCTATATAGAGGAATCAGGACTTCCTTCCTCCTGCTGGGGATCCCTCTAGTGATACATAAAGATCTATATAGAGGAATCAGGACTTCCTTCCTCCTGCTGGGGATCCCTCTAGTGATACATAAAGATCTATATAGAGGAATCAGGACTTCCTTCCTCCTGCTGGTGATCCCACTAGTGATAGATCTATATAGAGGAATCAGGACCCCCTGCCACCCGCTGGTGATCCCTCTAGTGATAACTAAAGATCTATATAGGGGAATCAGGACCTCCTTCCTCCTGCTGGGGATCCCTCCAGTGATACATAAAGATTTATATAGGGGAATCAGGACCTCCTTCCTCCTGCTGAGGATCTCTCTATTGATAAGTAAAGATCTATATAGAGGAATCAGGACCTCCTTCCTCCTGCTGGTGATCCCACTAGTGATAGATCTATATAGAGGAATCAGGACCCCCTGCCACCCGCTGGTGATCCCTCTAGTGATAACTAAAGATCTATATAGGGGAATCAGGACCTCCTTCCTCCTGCTGGGGATCCCTCCAGTGATACATAAAGATTTATATAGGGGAATCAGGACCTCCTTCCTCCTGCTGGGGATCCCTCCAGTGATACATAAAGATTTATATAGAGGAATCAGGACCTCCTTCCTCATGCTGGGGATCGTGATAACTAAAGCTAGACATAGGAGATTCAGGACCTCCTTCCTTCTACTGGTGATCCCTTCAGTGATTTATATTTGCTTTTCCCACTGTCTGGCTATATACATAAACTTGGGGGTTTTCAATGATTGTACAAGTCATAGGTAAAACAATTAAGAGATTTTGCTAACTTGCACGTACCTTAGCTGAGACGTCAGTAATATCGTAGTAGCGGTGTAACCTACAGATCATGGATTAGAGGACAGTAGATTCTGGTCCAGATGATGGTCCTCCATATATGACCTCAATTCCATAATATAAGCACGTAGAAGACCAGGTTATCAAGGTTGTCAAGGATAAGTCTGTTTCGCATGTTTAATAGTTTAGGCACTGACTGCTGATCTACAGGAACACATGGTGCTTTGTGTGTATGGATAGTGAGATTCTGCGGGCGGACCTGTTGTTATATGTAAGCAGAGGAATGCGGTAATACCTGACCAGGCACTAGAGACCAATACAATACATAGCATACTGTACCATACTGTACACAGACAGTCCGCACTGCACCGGCCTGATTATCAGGATGGGTCTTAAAGAGGAAGTGCAACTTTTCGGCTTTTGCATTTATGTCGCTCACAGCAAATTATTACAACAGAGTAACCAAATATAATTCCCTAGCGGGTGCATGGGCAGACTAAATTAATATATACTGTAGGTCTTAAAACTCACAGCTCAAAAAAAGGTATTACCATAGTTTATTATATGTATTTATATATAGCGCTGACAATTTACACAGCACATTCACATCAGTCCCTACCCTCAAGGAGCTTACAATCTAAGGACCCTATCTCACATAGAGGGACAATTTAGAGAGGAGATAATTAATCTAACAGCATGTGATTGGGAGTGTAGGAGGAAACCTATGCAAGCACAGATAGAACATGCAAACTCCTTGCAGATAGTGACCTGGCTGGGATTTGAACCAGGGACCTCCAGTGCTGCAAGGTAGAAGCGCTAACCACTACGCCACTGTACGTATACCTAAATAATAAGAACAATAATAATAAAACATGTATATATTAAATTAATATATTATTAGTTGAAAAAGGTAGAAGAGACATTTTCTCAAAGATGGTGCCGTCCTTCTGGAGATAAAAGCGGATGGGCAATAAATATATAAAAAAATATATCTGATGCCATGTCAGCTTTAAAAAATATGTTAATACTCTAGCAGTGGTGGGGAAAAAAAGGAGTATTAGAAGGACTAAAAAACTTATCTGGAAAAAAGAAAGTTTCAGCAGGTTTCTTCTAGTGATGGTCATGTACTCAAGTACCTAGGCATTTAGTCACATGATCTATTGAAGGCTAACCCCAGTTCCATATTATGGGGCCTACGAGAGTTCATGGCGTCACAGAGGCTTCTCTTCACCTGCATCTGTCTATCTTTGACCAGTGAACACGCTTTTGTACTTAAACACTAATTGAATGCGAGGGACCCAATAACTGTTCTTGCACAGGGGGCCTTTGTTGACTATTATATGATGATTTTGTTGCACCCCCTGACCCTCAAAGGCATGTGGTGTACCCCAGAGTCTGGGAGGGGCTGACATGTCACTCTCAGGGATGGACCCTTAGCCGGGTTGTGGGATTTGAACAGTAAGTCAGGTGCAAGTCACTTTAAGAACTTTAAGTACTTCCAAGTCACTTTAAGAACTTTAAGTACTTCCCTCGGTGACGAGGGAGCATGGAGCCGGCTTCCTGGCCAATCAGGAAGCGAGACATCATGTAATGACTCACCATCCGGCTTCCTGTTTAGCCGGGAAGCTGGCCACTCAGGAAGCCAGGTGGTGAGTCATTACCTGCCCCCTGGCTTCCTGATTGGCCAGAAAGCCGGCTCCATGCTTCCTCGTCAACTGGTGACAAGGGAGCATGGAGACGGCTTCCCAGCCAATTGGGAAGCTGGGCGGCAAGTCATTACACGCCACCTGGCTTCCTTGATAGGACTTCCGGAATCAGTATCGACGAGTACCAAAAAAAAAATATAGGTACTTGTACTGGATACGAAAAACCGTTATTGGTGCATCTCTAGCGACAACTTCATGGCATTTCTCAGGGTGAATGTCCGTAGGGTGACCACAGTGGACCATGTTGTGTAATGTGTGTTGAAACGGTCACTTTTAGCCTCTATCAGACGCACATGTAGTAGGGTGACAACTTAGTGGCACAATCAGGAGACAGGAAGAAAATGTTGTCATCCTATAGCTGGAAGTACCAGGTATTATTATAACAGAAGCTGCACATTTCATAATTAAAAAAAATTAAAAGGCTTTTTGAAATTGCAATAACATTACATTGTACTGATTGGGTTTACAGATACTTGTTCAACATACATTGCACACATTCAGACTCTTTCAGCTGGGATATTGGCAGGGCCGGATTTGCCACAAGGCCACCGAGGCCTGGCTTTGGGGCAGCAGGCAGTAGAGGGGGCAGCACAGCCGCCGAACGGTTAGTTTTTGACTACATTTAGCCCTGCTTCAGGCAAGCAGGGCTAAATGTAGAGCGAGGAAGCCGCTGCACGTTTTGTACAATGATCTCAGTGATGCCGTTGAAATTATTTTAAAAAGTAAAATATATAAATAAATAAAAAAGTGATAAAAAGTTAATTATAAAAAAATAAAATTAAAACCAACCCTGCCGCCTCTGCCATTTGGTTGCCATTCTCCATTGTGGGGGGTTTGGCGGGTAGGGGGGCGGCATTGAGGAACCTGGCCTTGGGGCAGCAGGGAGAGTAAATCCGGCCCTGAATATTGGATACATTATTTAAAAGGTATGTCTGCACCCACTGAAGGATTTAAAGTCTCAGCCAACAAGTGAAACCATTCAGTGAGATTCCAATGGCGGCAAACTGCTTAATTAGTGTTCTCACTAATCCACTTCATTCACAGCACACACCGAGCACCTTACAGGGTCAGTAGGAGGGCAGTAGAAGTGTAATTCCTGAAATCTGTGCTGTGTAATTTATTTTTTTCCTTCATCCCTACTCACATTTACTCCAAAGCAGGTTTAAATCTGGTTGGTGACTTTCAAAAATATCAATGTTAGAAGAAGCAGCAAGGAGGGTGTTCAAGCATCACATACAGGTGAGCTCCAGAATAACCAAATTGCTAACAGTAGTGGATGTGGTGGGTGGGGGAGGTGTAATAAAGCAATGTCTCGATGAAATCATAAAGCCCACAGCAGATAAT